ATCAGCCAATCGCAGCACTTCACAGACTATGCCATTTAAACTGTTTTACTTTTGGTTTATGCTGTATTATTTTATTATTTGTCTTATTTTTGTAATGTAGAATTTCGTCTTATCACCATTGTAGCCATACACACAGATGACCCATTATGCAGAATAAGACATGTTGAAATGATTCTGTCGAGTCAAAGTAGTCACAGAGGAGAGCCGGGGAAAGTGGCTTGTGTCCCTTGAGCTCAGAGTACTTACAGCGGAGTCAACACTGTAAAAGAAAGCCAAGAGAACGAGGGTAAAAATACAGAGCATCTGTAAATAAACCCTGTCGTTGAGAGTGCCTGCGTAAGCATTTTTAATAAGAGCTTAATAATTAATACACCCTGGCAGGCATGGTTGTTTTAAACAAGGCCAAATGCATAATTCATGAGCTGTTACTATATCTTCGTTTCCAAATGTAAAACGCATTACAGGCTCTTCTGTTTGATATTTTCTTATTCTGGATCACTGATTTTTAGGCCATATAAAACTCTGGTTCTTTCAAGTTAGATAGAAAAAACAAAAGCTGAGAGTGGGGTTGAATCGAGTTTATGTTAGTCAGGAAGATTGCTATTTAAATACATTAAATTTAAATGAGAAACTATGATGCATTTTAGAGGATTTATTATTTAGGACAAGGAATTTTCAAGAGTCCACAGACCACAGGGGATCTGTGACGGTTCTGTAGGGGATCCACCAATTATAGCTGGATCTGAAACTAATCTGTTTAAAAATTAAAATGTGCGTCAAACAAAGACACACGATTAAGTTAACAAAAAAAATCTTGAGCTAAGAACAGAGAGTCTCATGTAAATGAAAAATTTCAAACATATATAAAATGTATTCACAGTACTGTTTTGCAGGAAGGGCATCCACTTTGTAAGACATACGCTGGATAAGTTGGCAGTTTATTCCACTGTGGCAACCCTGATGAATAAAGGGATTAAGCCAAAGGAAAATGAATGGCTCTACAGATCAACAATGATTAATAAGCGTGATAAATCATATTGTACATTAAAGGTGCCTTAAAAAGAAAATCTGGATTTACCAAGGGTATACCTCCACAGCTATTATCAGAAAGCAAAATGCTGGGTATACTGATGTTAAATTTATTCAGCGCCACCCAAAGAGACATAAGGTATGTTTAATTGTATCTTTTGTTAATTTATTGTGTTTATTATAAAATTTGCCAAAGACGTTTGTAATTTGAGGTAACAATCACATTGTGTTTAATGCGCAATAAAGCATCTCACTCTGCAAATACTGCAATTTCTCTAGAGTGAAAGAACAGCCATACTCTTTATTAAACATCATCTGTTTATAGCAGAGATTGATAATAAATCCTGGCTGTGTTTACATTTACATTATAGCTTCAAAATACAACACAAAACATCTTTGTCGCTATCTTTTGTCAAGTTTATTTATAAATTAGCCGAAATTTTGTTTTATTTTACTCTTTCTGATAGTTTACGTTAGATCATTCACTCAATACTAAAATAAACCTCTCCACCACTTAAGTTAAAACGATTGAATGGGGTATCTACTTTCTTTGTTATAATACAATTTAATAAATTAAGATGTTCATTTCAGAGTACATCATGCTGTGTGTCTGTGTGAGAGAGAGAGAAAACACTGAGAGTTGTGTCAGAGTGCAGCACATTAATATTCATGCTATTCCAAATATGGTCAATAAGGACTTTCTTATTCTATGGGTATTTTATGTACATGGTGTGAGGATACAAGATGTGCTGCACCTGAAACTACGGATACTGGAAGCATGTGCTGGCATTTCTCCTGCGGTGTTGCTATCAGTGTGTGAAGAGAGGGAGAAGAGGGTTGCATTGACAATCAAACACAATGGGCAGCACATTGAACACATTTTATAAGTAGTCAGAAACTTGTAAATAACTCATAAAAGAATAAAGTTATGTTAAAATCAAGCACCCCATTGTTTTTCTTGTGAAATTCACCAATAAGTTTGATGTGTCAAACTACCCTCCTTTTATTAAAAAAAAGAAAAAATTGGATCCAAGATGGCCGACTTCAAAATGGCCACCATGGTCACCACCAATCTTGAAAAGTTTGCCCCCTCACACATACTAATGTGTCACAAACAGGAAGTTAAAATCACCAACCATTTCCATTTTATTAAGGTGTATCCATATAAATGGCCCACTCTACATAACAAATGTGCATATAAAACCATTTCTGGAGAATTTAAACTTACCAAAGCCACATACCTACTATGTAAAAATCAGAGAACAATTTAACTTATTGAATCAATGCAGTATATAGCACATTTAATATGATATCGTATGCATTCTTCAACAGGCCAGGGCTGAATTAACAGCCAAACAGTGTCTATGCAAAGCACCATCCTATGTAAGTATATTAAGCATGAATTTTAATTTCTAAAATGTACAACCCACATATATCAACAGAAACGGCAGCTTTTGTTCAACCCTAATTATAGTCTTGAGTCTTTTGTTGCCAGTGTTTCAGAATTATGTGCCCGATCATTTTTCACCACCCACCATCAACGACTCTCTTTCAGAGCAGCTTCTTAAAATTTCCGGGGATTTGGAGGAGTTTTCATGAGAAAACTTTGAAGCAGTTTGATGTGACAGAAGTGATTCAGAAACCTATGAAGGCTCTGACAGGTATTTACCTGTCTGCAACATTACAAGACTCCAGTAATAATAACCTAAACATGACAAATTCTGTCATCATTTATAAAATGGTTTGCTTTCTGCCTGTTGCTTCAAGTTGTATGATGAAAGCCAGTGCAATGTTTAGAGTTTTGATTTACTGTAATTAAATCTGTTCTCCAAACAAAATCAAACTGAATCGTATTTAATCTGTTCACCAACCAAAATGATTGTGTGAGATTTGAAAAAGCAGCCATAGAGTCGTATTTTCAGTGTTTTCAATGAATAATGATTGGATTCTGACATACAGTAACCTGTGATGAGCAATTTTAACAAACAATTATCAAAGATGACCTGATTTTGATTTAAAATTGTGAATTTTGAAGAATGAGGACAAGTTTGCATGTGTGCAATGATAAATAGATGATCATAAAAAAAACTGTTTATTGTATAACTTCCATGTGCAAGCCATAGGTGTCGATTACAATACAAACTATAGTTTAATTTATGTAAGATACAAACACAATTTACAAGAAACATTGTCTTTTAAAGTGCCTATAAGTTGGCTACATCTGTTTCAGACCACCAACAGAACATTTTCCAGCATCCCTGCTGGGCGTGATTATGCATTGGCATTTGATAATGGTGTGAACAATTATGGGTGTCAAATTTATATTAAATTATTATTATTATTTTAGACATGCACACCCTCCAACACATCTACTTTTTTATGTCCTTCAGCATAGGTCCAAGCAATAATTAGAGCGGTCAAACTCCCCCTGTAATTAGCACCCTGGTTTTGAGTCCCATTGACATTCAATACAAAGGCAGTAGACACATATGGCCCGTTTCCACTAAGTGGTACGGTACGGTACGGTTCGGTACACTTTTATGGCCGTTTCCACTGTCAAAAAGCATACCGAACCGAACCAAACCATACCACGTTTTCGGCAACCTTTCGACAGGGTACCACACACGAGAAAGGGTACCAAAAGGCGGAGCTAGACGCACAACTGAACGCTATTGGTTTACAGAGATACGTCATTCGCTTAGGCAACAAGCCAGAATGAAAACAAAAGAGCCGCCATGTTTAAAATACACAGCCGAGAGATCTTTTACAGCGTAAATACATATACATATAATAAAAGCCATGGTTGACACGGGCTGAAACACTTCTTGTCGTCGTCTTGATGAACAGCCACAATGCCAAAGAAGAGCAGATTTATTACGAGCCAGTCTGCAGCGCGAACGGTTTCGCTTTCTTGCCTGCGCTCGCTGCACGTCTGTATCTGAAATAACAAACTTCTTGAGCTGATGATAATAACGTGCGCTTGATGGTCTTGAAAGGAGAAGCTGGAAAAAAGGAATACATTCTTTTTTTAGCAAACGTAAACAAACTGCTATGTTTAACTATTATTATCATCACCTTTTGGACTAATATGAACTTAGAATGACGGAATGACTCTCTAACAGAGGCTACATGTGCTGCTGAAGATTACAGACACAGATAAGAGGTTTTCACTGACTGTAGACTATATTTTGTGTTGTTTTTGTAACTAAATAAGCACTAAATATATGCTATGTGTAGTTCTTCTGTAGTTAGTAACATATCGGAGACTGTAAGGGTCTGTATGTGCTCATATATGTTGCATTTATTTATTTAATATAATTACAGATGTTACAGTAGGCTATTTCGCATTGTCATTGATCAGCAGTTATAATCAAATCATGTTCATAGAAAAGTTAAAGATGAACATTTATACAGAAGTATTTATGCGTATAAAGCATTTGTTTTGTGAGAAGTGCTTCTCAAATGATACGTAAACGACCTGTACGGCTTTACTGTAGACATTTTCTCGAGCGAAAATTACGTCGACTGAAACTTTCTGTCATACACCACGCCCATCAAAAGGGTACCCTTGGTAATGGAAATGCAAGCCTGATAAAGGTGACCCGTACCAACCCGAACCGTACCGTACTGTACCAGTCAGTGGAAACGAGTCAATAGACAATTTCTTTATAATATCTTTCAAAAATGCTAATAAACAACAGTATGTTCAGTTTTGAATGAGCTGTCTCTTTAAAACAGAAATGTCTATAGACAAATTCTTTGAGGATAATTTGCAGTAGGAGAGAAATGGGAAAATAATAGTTAAAATAAAATGATCATGCAGTGAAAGCGCTCAAACAAAGCTTATTATTAAATCAATGGAGTTAGACTTCTTACAAGTGCAGTCATTTAACCACCACCCATTACTGTTACAATACACTATTTATGCTTCCTTTCTGATAGAGACAACTGTCATGCCTGTCTTAACTCACCTCCTCAAACAGCTCCAAGCTGTACGTATTATCATCATCTGCGAAGTAAACGATTCCCGCCTGGCTGCTGTTGGAATTGAAGGTCTCCCTTAGCCATCTCAGAGCCAGATTCCTCTGCATGGTGCCACGTGGAATCCTGGGATCTCTCGTGTCCCCTCGCAGCTTGTAGTTCCGTGGGGTCTCCACATTGAGGTGTGTGTAGTTCAGCCCGGTTTCCCTCAGAAGCCTCGTGACCAGAGGGGTTCTCCTCTGAGAGTCCTCCACCAGGATCCAGTGCAGGTTGGGCACATGAAGGAATGTGTTGGCCAATCGCGTTAACTCTGCTTTCTGCACAGGACGGCTGTATGTCGGGGTGATGACATGAATGGTGGGTAAAACGTCAGACCAGGGTGGAGGTCTTGTATACACATATTCTGTACGAACCACCTCTACTATGTCCTTGTCCTGTGAGCAGTATTCTTTTGAGTCTGTTGCCGGCCCATTCTCGTGTCTAGTCTCCGTCGCGTCATCTAGCCAGACAGAGAAAGAGAATTAAGACATTAGCACACCCCAGGGCTGCTCTTTTTATTTCTGACGCATGCCACAAACCTTAGAGGAGTACCTGCTAGCCGTTGCCGGTGGATGGTTAGTCGCTCTGGTATGATTAAGATCTCTTTTACTAGATGGTGACAGACTGGAGAGGGTGAGAGCAGGAACCGTGAGATCATAATACCATTACTCCATAAGGGTTGATGGCACTGATTCAAACCCATAAAGCACTGGTTCTGCATGATCTGCTTTTGAATTCTTAATGGGATTGTTCAGACAAAAATGCTAATTTTCATGCCTTTCAAAGCCTGTTTGACTTTCTTTCTTTCTTGAAGTACAAAAGGAGAATTTTTAGAGGAATATCCTGATGTATTTTTTAAAAAGTATCAAAATGCATCTAACGTATAACTGCAGCATCTAAGAAAAGGCAATCTAACTTTATAATGATAATAATAGCACCAGTAATGACCCTATGACATTATATTCATGAAAATAGCATTCTGAATCTAAGCTTTCACATTTTTTTCAGATGGCAAATCATCAATGTTTTTTTATTGTTGTCAATTTCAGAGTTAAGTTGTGTGGGGATGATGATTTGGGTTTCCTACAAAAGCGAAATGTGTGACTGAATTTTAACACTTACAGTAGGTGCACCAGTGATGGGCAGTATTTATTATACATGTATTTAAAATACAAAATAGTATCTTGCAATTTGTATATGATAGAAATAATGGAAATGGCTTAAAACTTTGTATCAAAATACTTTAGTGTCTTGTATTTTTAAAATACTCTCTAAGAAGTCTACATGGTGGCATCATATAAATGCACCCTCTAACTGGTGCTTTGGACACTACTAACTCTTCCATTTAATGAATAAATGAAAAAAATATATATAAAAAAATTGCAGAAAGAGTATACTGTAAAAATAATAGTAGTTTTGGATGGAGTTTTGATGCAAATGTTTGTCTTACAGTGGCGATTTCTATACTTCTTTGCCTGTTTTAAATGCCAATATTTGAATAGCAAGTATAGTTGCACTGTATAGCAAATGAAGAGGGAAGATGTATGCCTAAAGATGTCAAAGTGACACGACATATAAAACACATATTTAATAATCTAAAAACTAACAGGTTTTAAAGCAGGAACAGGATATAGTATATGAGGAGTTTATTTGCAAAAATAGATTACAATTTTTAGAAGTTTTCAGAAATCATGTTTTTACAATGAGTTTAGAAGAGTCAGTTTAACAGTTAGGGACTGATATCATTCTTTTTATGTTGTAGTATTTTTAAAACACAAAAATACTGCTGTATTTTGTAGTTTAATGCTGTATTTTGCCGTTTATTTTGATACACAAACTTAAGGTATTAGGTATTTTATTTTAAAATAAATTTTAATTAAATTTTTGCCCATCCCTAAGGTGCACACACTGTACACACAGTGGACCAGTGGTTTACAAATTGATGGATAAATGATTCAACTGCAGACGTCATCTTCTTACATGATGTCCGAATACATTCAAAACCCATTATGTGCATTGTCTAGCTATTGAGTGTATTTTGATTGTAAATTATTGTGGTGCATTCTGGGGAAAAAATGCCTGACTCCACTATGGTTTCAGACAACAATACAAGTAGCTGTTCCTCAAACAGCACCAGAAGGGTTGTCCAAACCTTTTCATTAAGAGATTTTACCTCCAATCAGCCCCAAAACACTTGCCTGAGCATGAGCAATTCTGGTTTCCCCCTCAGTCTAAAGACATGCAGTACAGGTGAATTGAATACGCTAAATTGGCCGTACTGTGTAAGTGTGAACGAGTGTGTATGGATGTTTTCCAGTACATGGTTGCAGCTGGAAGGGCATCCGCTGTGTTAAACATATGCTGGATAAGTTGGCCTGTTAAATAAACAGATTAAGGAATAAGGAATGAGATTAAAATTACCCCTATACCCTTAGTGCACTATTTCAGGCAGTGTAATGGTGACTTAATGGAAGTTCTAAAGTGCACTCAATCAATCTATCAATGCATTGTGATAATGAATGCACAACCACTGCAAGATGGCATCAACAACGGAATCCTTCTAAATAAATTACAATAAAATTTTTAAATTAACATTTGAATAAACGTGACAGAACTAGATTACTTTGTTTCATCTCTAAAAGACAGATCACTAAGTTTAAAATAACTATCACATCTCTGAGTCTGACCAAGAAGTTGAAAGTGTAATCTGTCTGAGGGATTTAACAAGCCAGCAAAGCACAAACAAAACAGCATCCCTTCCAGTGCACTCAAATTCACTCTCTCGTTTTTATTCCCTACTTTAAGTGGATTGACTATTAGTGGACTATAGGGAATAGTGAATGAGGGTATAAGGCTGATTTCAGATATAGCGCTAAATTAGCTGCTTCAGGTGTGTTTTAATTGCAGTTGGAGCTAAATTCTGCCCTTCAGGAATAGGTATGAACACGTCGGTTAAACAATATAGAGTGCAATTTAAGCAAGCCGAGCTTAACTCAACCCTAATAGTGCACCCAAACTAGCTAAGGCTTTTGAGATGGGTACAAATATGCAAGATGTATTGACGAATATTAGTGGCATTAAGGCCATGGATATTTTTTTTTGTAAACCCTAGAGATAGTTGTGCGTAAAAATCATAGTAGATCAGCAGTTTCTGAAATACAGACCAGCCCATCTGACACCAACAACCATGCCACTTTCACAGTCACTTAAATCGCCTTTCCTCCCCATTCTGATGCTCGATTTGAACTGCAGCAGATCGTCTTGACCATGTCTGCGTGCCTAAATGCATTGAGTTGCTGCCATGTGATTGGCTGATTAGAAATGTGTGTTAACAAGCAGTTGGACAGCTGTACCTAATAAAGTGGCCAGTGAGTGTATAAAGTATTACAATGCAATTGCTCCATCCATTGTGCCTGACATGTCTTCTCATAGACTTTGAATTTTGAAAGTCTGGGCTTAAAAAAGTTTTCAAGTTTACAAATTTCACACTCATAATTATACTTTGTGGTGGTCTTTATGTGCGTTCATCTCACTAATACAATCTCTATAATACAATCCATCAGGAATATTGCCCTAAATCAACTAAAACATACTGCTAATCTGAAAGCCTAATAGTCTAAAATATTATTAATTTACTCTGTTATGTTAATGTGACATAGGCTAACATGGAGAAACAAGTAGAACAATGGAGGAGCAAAGCATTCTGAACGAATTCTGTTTATTATATTCAGTTTGTTCTTTAACACAGCAAATAATTTAGCTCCAAGGTGCTCTGGAGGTTTCTAGTAATCCTCTTAAAGACTATGCATTGCTGGTTCAGATGCTTAATTGGGGCTGGAGCTGGATTCCCATACCCTTTACATCAATCTATTGACAGCAAAGATCTCTAGGTGAAAGCAACAGTCAAGTCACATTAAAGATTTTGTTATATGATACCTAAGGAGTAAGATCCGATTGCAAATATGGTAGTTTTGTCTTTTCTTGTTTTAGTAGATCATATCACTTGTGTAAAAGACATTTAGAGCTATTTAGGACCCAGTGGACAGTATATACTTCAGTATTTCTCTCACTTTTTCCCTCCAAGAAAGAAAGAAAAGATTTTAATTTTGTTAAACCACTACATGACGAGCATGTGGGAATGATATTGCTGAATTAATTACAGTGTAACCAAATTTCTTCTTGCTTTTAAAAATATTTCCACAAAATGGTGTGGGCAGTTCTAACACAATCTTGCTGATAGCTCATTAAGCGTAGGAATGATGGTGGCACCTTTCATATCAGATCTTTATCACTGTTCAATTAGTGCCCTGCTCTCACTTCAGACATTTTAGCAGCAGTAGATTAGCGAACTCCATTAACAGTCCAGATGTTCAATGCCTCCTAGGCATCATACATACCCATGTTAATTGCTTCATGATAATCTCTATGAATACACATCTTTACATCTCCATAAGCCTGATGATATCGGCATGCGTATATAGATTTTCAAATGCCAGGACTCTTATCTTTCTGTAGGTTACCAACTAAGGGTGGTTAGCGATTGATGGAGGCCATTAGATTGTCCTGAATGCCCCATAAATAATAGACTATGTGTATAGCTTATGTATGTGAATTATGCTCTTACATACGTGTTTTAATATGAGTGCTAAAATAAACAAGATATACAAATGGCTTATTTTGACTTAGAGCCAGCCAAACAAAAATGCCCATCAGATAGTGTTTTTTTTTGGAGAAATTGTTTGAATTTGGATAAAAGGGAACATTTCACTGGAGTCAGGGGACTTTTGAATGAAGCCTATACTTTTTTTTTGAAAATAGTCTCATTTTACAACTCCGCTAGAATTTATCAGTAAGTTTTACCCGTTTTTAAATCAATTCGCCCAATGTCCTGGCCTGGCGGGTGCTTTCATCTTAGCTTAGCACAGATCATTAAATCAGATTAGATTATTAACATCTCGCTCAAATATAACCAAAGAGTTTCGATAATTTTCTGACTGACTTTTTCTGTTGAAACATTGTGTATTAAAACAGACAGAAAAAAAACTGTGTTTTATAGGCTGAAATAACCGGGAACTATAGATTATTCACTCACCGGTCAGTTTATTAGGTACACCTTGCAAGTACCGGGTTGAACCCCCTTTTGCCTTCAAAACTGCCCTAATCCGTTGTGGCATAGATTCAACAAGGTACTGGAAATATTCCCCACAGATTTTGATCCATATTGACATGATAGCATCACACAGTTGCTGCAGATTTGTCGGCTGCACATCCATGATGCAAATCTCTCATTCCACCACATCCCAAAAGTGCTCTATTGGACTGAGATCTGGTGACTGTGGAGGCCATTTGAGTACAGTGAACTCATTGTCATGTTCAAGAAACCAGTCTGAGATGATTCATGCTTTATGACATGGCGTGTTATCCTACTCGAAGTAGCCATCAGAGGATGGGTACACTGTGGTCATAAAGGGCTGGACATGGTCAGCAACAATACACAGGAAGACTGTGGCGTTGACATAGTGCTCAATTGGTACTAATGGGCAAAAAGTGTGCCAAGAAAATATGCCCCACACAACTACACCACCACCACCAGCCTGAACCATTGATGCCAGGCAGGATGAAACCATGCTTTCATGTTGTTGATGAGTTGTAGCCTCAGTTTCATATTCTTAGCTGACTGGAGTGACACCCAGTGTGGTCTTCTGCTGCTGTAGCCCATCCGCCTCAAGGTTTGATGTATTGTGCATTCAGAGATGCTCTTCATACCTCAGTTGTAACAAGTGGATATTTGAGTTACTGTTGCCTTTCTATCAGCTCAAACCAGTCTGGCCATTCTCCTTTTACCTCTGGCATCAGCAAGGCATTTGCGCCCACAGAATTGCCACTCACTGAATATTATCTCGTTTTCAGGCCAGTCTCTGTAAACCCTAAAGATGGTTGTGCGTGAAAATCCCAGTACATCAGCAGTTTCTGAAATAGCCCGTCTGGCACCAACAACCATGCTACATTTAAAGTCACTTAAATCAACTTTCTTCCCCATTCTGTTGTTCCTTTTGAACTGCAGCAGATCATCTTGACCATGCCTAAATACAACGAGTTGCTGCCATGTGATTAGCTGACTAGAAAATTGCATTAACAAGCAGTTAGACAGGTGTGCCTAATAAAGTGGCCGGTGAGTGTATAAATGAGATGCTACAGTAATGGTTAGATCCATTTAATGATCTATGCTATGCTAAGCTAAAAGTCCTCCCACCAAAGCCGCAGATTGACTTAATCGATTAAAAAATGGTAAAGATTAACTGTTTAACTCTAGGGAAGTTGTAAAATAGGAAGTGGAGCGTTCCTTTAAAATGAGACCAAACTCAGGGGATGTGTTAGAAAGAAGGATTTGTTTTTATCTATGTTCATAGTGTTGTTGGGAGCACTTGAAAGCACACAAGTGGCAGGAAAATAAATCTTGTTTAGCACTGCCTCTTTAACACGCTTTTAAAGATAACTTTGTAGCGAGAATAGCAATATGCAAATTTCTTTGCTAACCTGACCATATTCAAATGAGCACAGGCGATGAATAGACTCGCTACAGTCTATTAGTCTGTGAGAGTGCCTATTAAGCTTTGTGCAGAAAATTGTCACATTTTGATTGATGATAAAATTGGAACTGGCAACACCTCATATCAATGTATTTAAGAGAGGCCGTTACCCTTTCGGATGGCAAGCAGGGGAGCAATTGCACTTTGGTGCCACACAGTGATGAGGAGGGTCCATGGTAACACAATCAACACGATGGCAAGAATATCTCTTCTCTTCGGCATCTCCAGGGTTGGTTCTATGCCTGGTCATTACCTGAGAGAGAGAAATGAAGAAAGTCAGACACTAAAAGAGACAGAGTATGCAAAAGACAGAATATATGGGATCTTCATAAGTGTCAGGGAATTAATGTACTGTCTGATCAAATTGACTATCACCACTGAAATTAGATCTTCATGTGGCCAAGTAAAATGATAATCCACTGTGCTGCCTATCCTCAAGATATGTGTCGAACATTACAGAAGCATCACAGATATTTCATTTAAATCCTTGACATTCTAATTATTAACAAAAAGATTCTGGGCTCCACACAATTCCTTTATGTTGTCCCAACACAAATTGATTAAGTTAACTTAAACGCTTTTACAAATTTATGGATTAAATATATAACAATTAATTGTCCCCCTAAAAAAACATAAGAATTGTGTTGTTTCAGCTCGTTTTTAATGAGTAGTTTGAACAAGCAGCAAAATACTTTTTTTAGAGTCTATCACAATTGACAGTGATACAATGCACTGGTTTGACAAATACCGGTACACTAAAAAAAGTGTTGCATGCAGAAGTGTTGCAATCAATTTATTTGTGTTGAATTTAAACAAACAAATTAAATTGAATAATGTTCAACTTAATTTGTTTGTTTAAATTTAACACAAATAAATTGTTTACAAACACTTAATGTAAAAAAAATGAGTAAATCCAAGGAATCATCTTTGAATAATTTTTTTCAGTGTATATACAGCCTGATCTCACGAGAAAACGTAAATCTATTACGTCTTGCCAGTTTATTGGCTAATTCGTACGAATTCGTAAGAGTTTAGTCGTACAAAATTGTACAATTTATAAAGGAGGTGTGGCATCTAACCCCACCCCTAAACCCAACCGTCACTGGGGAATGAGCAAGTCATATTAAATTGTACGAATCAGATAAAACGAATTCATACGAATTAGCCACTAAATCAAAAAGTTACGAATTGCCGTGAGATTGTGTTGGTATAGGGTTGCACCAACTGCTTGTAAGTTCTTTCTTAAACTGGAATGTAAAGTCCACACTAGGCACTTAGTAACTACTAGCTAGTTTATAACTTCATTTGTTTTCACTTCTGTTGCACAACATGCTCTTAGGGCAAACCGTCGGTCGTAAGCTCTCTGTTAAGTCTTAGTCGCATTGAAGGACATAATATCTAATAAAAAGCTTTTAAATCATTAAACTGCTTCAAAATTCTGCAACTAATGCATCTATATATAAAACATATATACAGTTGAAACCAGAAGTTTACATACACTCTAAAAAAAAGAACAACCATTTTTAAAAAAGAATGTCTGATGGTAAATCATACTAAATGTTTACTATTTTAGGTCTGTTAGGATTACCTAAATGATTTACATTTGCTAAACGCCAGAATAATGAGAGAATATATTTTTTTGAGAATGTTTTATTAATTTCTAAACAGTCAAAAGTTTACATTCATTTCCTTAGTATTTTTTTAGCTTTGCTTTTAAACTGTATAACCTTGGTCAAATGTTTTGGGCATCCTTCCGCAAACTTCTCACTATAGTTTGAATGAATTTTGGCCTATTTCACCTGACAGAATATGTGTAACTGAGTCAGATTTGTTGGCTGTCTTGCTCACACAAGTTTTTTTTTTTTTTAACTCTGGCCACTATAGGATTTTGCTCAGGGCTTTGTGATGGCCACTCCAAAACATTCACTCTGTTGTCCTTAAAGCACATTTTAACTTATTTGGTGGTATGCTTAGGGTCATGGTCTGTTTGGAAGACCCACTTGTGGCCAAGTCTTGAGATGTTGCTTCAGTATTTCTACATAATGTTCTTGCTACATGATGCCATCTATGGTGTGAAGTGGACCAGTCCCTCCTGCAGCAAAACAGCCCCACAAAATGATGCAGCCGCCCCCATTAGGGTTGTAACAATATACCGGTATGACGGTTTACCACGATTTGAACGTGCACGATTATCATACCATGAACAATTGCATATCAACGGTTTTAACCCTTAAAGACCGAGACAGCCGCCCGCGGCTAAAAATAAGTATTGCTCTTAAATGTTTAATAACTTTTGATCCGCTGATCCGATTCATACAATTCAAAGATTGGCATAAAGAAGAGAGTCTCAGCTTTCCAGTGCTGTATCACATAACATTCGCGGACTTTCAGAGGCTCCGGAATCAGTGCGGTTACGTCATCAACATTTGACAACGCTGATTTGACAAAGAAACGCTCGTCACTGTGTCTCCGGACAAACCAGACATGATACATTGATGCATTGTCCCTCCTCCATGCCCAGATTGGTTCAAACTCGCTATATCACAACCAATAAGCATAGGTTTCGCTTTTGTTTGTGGACCAAGCTTTTTGAACAACACGGAATGAGAGATAGGCATACATTTATGCGCGGCTAAATAAAACGCAAAAAAAAAAAAGTTTTGCATGAAATAATTCTCATACTAAGTACTTTTGCATGCACAGCAGCACAGAAACATGACAAAACAGTGACACAGCAAAGACGAACTGCTGCTCTTGCTGTTTTCAAAAGACACAAATGAAGGTGCAGCTGTTTGTCTGCATTGCAGACAACCATATCCAAATCCATATCGATAGACAACCATATCCATGCTGGCACATAAAACCTAAGGATGTTCCATATTGAATCTAGTTTCGTTATGTAACTATTTATAGTATAGTAAATATTTATATCTATTTTTTACTGAGGATTTGCACCATGTTTATTTGGACTTTATTTGGACTTTGACACATTATTTATTATTTTCTTATTTTTTTATTTGTTCATTGTAAGTGGTGTTGTTTATAGTAACTAAAAAATATATTATTTGGAAAAAGTCAAATTTGCTTCACTGTTCTATTATTTTGTAACATTTGTAACATACCGTATACCGCGAAACCGTCAAACCGTGGTATTGTTTTAGACGATTATCATACCGTGAAAAATTCATACCGTTACAACCCTAGCCCCCATACTTCTGAGTTGGGATGGTGTTTCTAGACTTGGAAGCTTTGCTCATGTTGTCACACAAGCAGTGTTCAAGGTTTTCCTTAAATAATATTGTACAGTTGTGCCTCCAATTAACACAAAAGTTGTAAATTAGCCATCAGCCAATCAGAAACTTCCAAAACCTTGACACAATCTTCTGAGCTTTTTTTTTTTTTCCATTTAAACTAAGTTCAGTGGTGCGTAAATTGTAACTTAGTGTCTTGTTAAGACAACTAGGCTACGTTTTAACTTACACACTGCTGGTGCAACTGGCTACTGTAGCACAAATGCTTGGTTGACAAAAATAAATTTGAATAAGATTTCAGCTTTTTTTTAGGCTTCTTTGGCTGATTTCAGAGCTCAGAGTGACTTAACACCTTTGTATATTTCTGACTGTGATTGTAAGGAGGAATAAATATAATTTCTAATAATTTTACAGATGGAGTCAGTTATTCAGCAACAATATAAAAACATTGTTCGGATGTTGTATTTCAAGACATTTGTCAGGTCTATCTTCTCTTCTCCTGTGTGTGGGATTAGTTTCATCCAAAGCTTTTGTTTTGACATGATTTTTGACTGTTGTAGGCTGTAAAATAAACTGGAATCATTTGTGATATGGAAACAAGCACATCTGTAATCAAATACCTTTCCTGGAAATAAATTGTACACTTTAATGTTAATCAGCCAAGAGTCAAGTACAACAGTATATACTGTATGATATCTTTTGACCTAAAATTTATCAAAACTGTGATTGTTCACTTCAGATTTCTTGTCTAAAGGGCAATACAGAAAATAGAAAGGCTATTCAACTAAACTAATTGAATGTTTAAATAAAGGGGTTCATTCTTCGTTTCTCACTTAAAGGGTCTGAGAACATCACAGATCTCAGATCTTATAATGGCGATAATCGATTCTTCAAACAAGTTTGTGATTCAATTATCAGAGAAGTGAGCAAAAATATAGTTAAAGTTAAGTAGATAAAAAAGCTTGTTAAAACATAAGTCATAACTGTTCCTTGTGGCACTTGAACTGGCTTTTATGTGTCAAGAATATTTTATTTTACAATTACTTTAATTTTAGCTTTGGAGCAGATTTGCTATATGTGACTGCGTTAAAATTTCCTAATCCTCTGTTGTAAGGCATAGCTGACTGTCTTGATTGACTGCCTGATTAATGCATGAAATAAAGCATTTTGAGATTTGAGAAGTGGGCTGCACCACCAGCAAAGTTGTCAGTGTTCTAATTTACATGCGTGTATGACAGTAAAATTACAGTATGCCGTATTACTTCAAAAATGTTTCTCTCCATAAGTAATAATGGCCATGTCTATTATCATGTACTCTCAGATATTGTGGTACAAAAGCTGTACATTTTCAAAAGGTATGTATTTGTAACTAACATATTCATATTGGTACCCTAAAAGTATATGTAACTGAAGTACACATATTAGTCCCTATAAGTACAAACATCTACCCTTTCACTTTTAAAAAGTTAGTTTTTGTACCTTTATTTCAGAGCGCAGACTGCATACGTTATAAATAAAAAACAAACAAACATTAAAACATATTTTATAAATGATAATTATTATTATAAATACATTATTGTTGTGTTATTGTTGTTATTTTCCTAAGAAATCAGCAGCTGGTACTGGTCTCATCTTTGCTTGTAGATCATCTTAGCTTGAAAACGCAAAATCTAGCCCTGTTTACATAAAATAAGCTGTTCCCCAGCAGTTTTGAGTTTAAAGACTTTTTACTAAAACAATCGGATGTGTCTACAATCAAATCCAGCTAATCCATGTGTTAAGAACCGCCCCAGATCTAGTAACGTTATGAGAATGTTCTAGAAAATAGAAACCATATTAGTGTTACTATATTCTGATTTAAGTCTGATGATCATAGCTAATGTTAGTCATTTTGAGTTTAGAAATCATTATTAAGACTTGTCAATTTCACTAAGGGAGAGCCAGCTGAGCAATCAAGTTTATTAGGCTAATCCACTACATGTTTTCACTTTTAATGTTATGTCGAATTTGCTAAAAAGATCTAGGTCTAATTAATTTTAAATGTATATTTTTTAGGTTATTATAGTACGCTTCGCTTATAATTAAACATTATTAAAAAAAAAAAAAAAACGAATTCAATAAAACGTGCATTTTATGTTTAAATCAATGCCAAAATGTATTAGTTGGCACCTCTGAATATTACTGTCGATCTTATAGAATTTAATAATTTTTCTGTCCTGAAAAACAGATGTCAAATATTATGCTTACCTTGACCGTTATAATTAAAGTTCGCGCGGGCGGGCGCTTCCGTGAACAGTAAAACACGCCCTCTTTGATTTGATTGGCCAAATCAAATTTGACATATTTATTGACGAGCGAGGCTGATATCATAAACTTCAGTAAGCAGCGGCAGGCAGTGGAAGCGTCTTGTCGCTTGACTTTGTTATGATGCTACACAGTGTAAATAAAATAGAAAGATGGCGCTTCAGATAAAATATATTTTGCTGCATTTTTCGGGTTATTGCTTTGTTTTAATGAGTATTAGTTTTATTTATAACTTAGTATGTAGTAAAAGCGCATATGCGCCCATATGGCCTACACTTAACGTGTAACTTACTGACAACCAGCAGTCGGGACTACATTTGGTAAGACAAACATCCTCATCATCGTCGTAAACTGTCGTTGAGATTTCATAAAGAGCCTTGTTTTCTTATCTTATTAGTAGAAACTCTTGCTGAAGCGATTTAATGTCAGTGGTGTTATACATGAGGCCAGTGTTAGGTGTCGATAGCTGGGTGTCTTTTATGTCTTATCCAATAATTGCATAACAAAATAACAATAATATACAAGAGGATAACAGTTCTTAGTGTTTTTCACAATAACATTAAAGAGACAAACAAACAGGGATAGATAGATAGATAGATTACAAAAATATTACAGTAGTTCAAAAATGTATACATCATTGTTGCTTTTTTTATTTAATTTATCTTTAACATAATGCAATGAAATCAATCAATAAAGATCTATTTTAAATAAAGGAACGTTAAGTTTATCATTGAACAATTTCTATTTGTGTATGGTATTCACTATTCATAATCATTAAATTATCAAGCTTTGTTCCTCTCATTCATTATTATGTAGCAAAAAATATATATTTTTACAGGATAATATCATTTTTTAATTTTGTCAATTTAAATATGAAATAAATATTTGTTATCAAACACAAAGCATTAGGTATATTTGCACATTCAAAAAACAGGTGTTTTATGGATTCTTCCTCAAACTCACAAAATGTGCATGCAGATTCATTGTTTTGTAAAACTTGTTTCACTGGGTAAATAAATGAATTAGTTCATATGTAACTTTTTACTTTACTGGTGAGACAATATTTATTAGGTAATTTCCAATCTTTTTTTCATTCTACCTGGTCAAATGAGAAATTAGTTTGGTGAATATTTTCACCCTACTCTTAAGATATTTGAAATGAGCTAAAAGCGTTTGTTTTAATTGTGTATTTACTTATTTACTTTACTTATTTACTATTTACTTACTTATTTTATCTAATATGTGCTTTAAATAGCCATTTTTATTGTTTGCTTGATTGTTTGCTTTTGCTATAATGCAGTCATTTTGCGAAGTAAATAACAACATTTGTTTTGGATTATTATTAACTTTGTTTATTATTATTTACATACCATAACAAAAAATGTGCAATAAATAAAAATAAATAAAACATTTTATTATCAACTTCTCTCACCCTTAGTTAGAAACGGCGGATGGCCACGAGCGTGAGGTCCAGCTGTGACGGCCGCATGCTGGAGGTCATCCACCGCGCTGTTGGCACACAGAGCATCCCATGCTGCGCTCCCAAGATCCTGAAACACACAAACAGGCATCTTTGTCTGCTGATTCTGTCTGTCACTTTTTGAGAAGACGACTACAAGAAGGTATAGTTGAGACAATTATTATTTTTTTTTGTTCGTCTTCCCCTTCCAGTGTGACTGCTACAGTGATGAATTTCTCACTGCCAAATGACAATATTAATATCTAGTAAAGCAATCCAGGGCTGATAAATGAATCTTTCTGCATTTAGAGCAACGTTTGTTGGCTCTCACTCTCCCTTAATCTCAGTGGTAATATTTGCCATACAGGAACAGATGAATTATCTGTCAGGTGCCCTTTGTGCCAAACGTCTTCCTATGAGAATAATAATTCAGTTATGAAACTATTATCACCCAAGCCTGTCCAGACACACATATGAAAGCTGGGTACGATGATGCTGTGCCTTGAACCAAGCCTGTCTGTGTGTGTAGGCTGTAGCACAAATGCTGGTTGACTGCAGTAGCGACAGTGTATTTTTAGCTTCTCTGGAGGCAGAAAAAATGAAGAGTGGAGAGAGAGAGTTGATTTTTTTTCTTCTTTTTCTAAAGATTTTTTCTAGAATCAGGCAGAAATTCTGGGTTAGCAGTGCATTCAGTTAAAAAGACAAGAGTGGATCTACATCAAAATGTGTTTAAGTTTTTATTTTTTCCATGATCGTTAATGGCGAAATGATATCTGTAAAACTAATCTTAATTAAGGTCATTATATCACCCAGAATGTGTTTGTTTTTGCTATAATAACTGGCTGATCATGCATTATCCTACTTATCACTTCATTACATTGTAAAATAAATAAGTAAACAATAAATATTGACATGACTGTAATTTAAACGAAACCATGGAGTGAGACGAGACAGCATAAGAGAGAATGGGTAACAGGGGTGACAGTCTAATATACAGTTTAGTTTCATTATGCAGAAATAATGATATGAGAATGACATTAATCAGAATCTTGTTTTCCAGTAGGAAGTATTTAATTTAAGTCTATAATAAAAGCCATTGAAGGAATCAGTTAAATCCAAATATGTAGATTTTAATGTAATTTCAGATGTCTTTGGTCTTTATGTTACTCTTATCTGTGACCATCATTTATGGTATATTTAATCATTCCTTAATATTGTACTAAATGCATATCAGGCAATTCACTTAGCTGTGGACCACACTCTTTTGAGAGACAGTTTGGTCAAGTGTAAGGATTTAGTATGAAACTATCAAAACGTAGGTGATTTTAGCCCCGATTTTGGCTCACCGACAGGTTTTGAGAAATCGCCGACAAATGGCTGAAATCACAGGCAAATCGGTGCTTGTGCACGTAAGTGACAATCACACAGTATGAACTATCAAAGACGCGATCTGAGAGAATCGCCGATGAGCCGAGCTGTCGGCGATTCAAATCATGCTGTGTGAAATGTGTTTTGACTGAAAATAACATTGGCGTTCGCCTACAGCCAATGAGAGAGCAGCATTCACTTGTGTGTGTGTGTTTGTGTGTGTGTATACCTGCTGCAGGCCAGTGGGAGGTTAGGGAAGAAGTTAAAAGCGCTCATTTTCAGTTTATTTGGACCCACGAAATGGAGGAAAAACTAGTGGAGGTTGGACAGGACTCAAGAGCAACCGTGTCTGTTTGACGTTTCATACAGAAAGAAATAAGTTTATTATCAAATTAAGTTGAGGAGAAATGGCTAATTCCCTTTAAACCCAGGTGAGCAAATATGTACATTTTTTACCCCATTAAAGGCTTCTTTCTCATTATGTAGTTAATAACAAAAGATATACTACGTGTTTTTGGCTGTGAGACGTAGTTTGTAGTTGTCTGCGATTCTTTTTATTGTAAAGTCATGCAATGTAAAAGTCCCTGTCGCCGATCCATCTTGCAGTGTAAACAAACCAACGACGAAAAGCAAGCCCAGATAGTCATGCAGTGTGAAAACATCTGTGACACGACTACTTTGAAAATCATGCAGTCTGAACTCAGTATAAGATGCTGATACCTCAAGATAGGGCTGCACAATATTCAAAAATGCGGATATTGCGATATTTAATTTTTCTGCGATAAATATTGCGATATGAAACAGTTTCACAGACATATTGAATATCACTATTAGACAGTTTTCTGGGGAGCATAACAGGATTCAGGCACAGAAATTACAAATCCCAATGCAATAAATGCTTTTCTTACTTTTCTTTGTCTGGTTTCTAGTACAAATATCAAAAAAGTCTTATTCAAGTAAATCTTTGTTTGTTGTTTGGTTTTCAACTTGAGAAGAAATGTCAAAATTAGTAAAAGTAAAATGGAGCCAAAAGTGTTTTTTTTTTTAAAACAAGCGACATCTGCCAGTGGGGTAAGTAAATTAATCTTGTTTTTGCTTTGAAATGGAAATATTTGACCTAAAAACAAGATTCAAACCCAATTCTTTGGCTCCTGTTGAACTGTAATTCAGACTTAACATTGCATATGTTGCGATGTGACTATTGCAGGTGCGCACATTGTGATATCGATGCTGAAATGATATATTGTGCAGCCCTCTTTCAACAGGCAGCTGTAGGGCACAAGACCCTTAAGCAATATACAGTTATAGGTCTGTTCTAATGAAATAATGGTGATCACACAGGACATATCTTCATGCACGGACATCAAGCTCTGTGTGTATGATGAATGTTTAAATCAGGGTCAAGGCACTGGAGTGACCCAAAAAGATAGATAAAGCACAGGAGGGCATGACATTCACTGAATGGAGATGTTCTGGTCAAACAAAATCTGAAGAAAATGTTCATCAATAGAGAACAAAATTGTGTCTGATACAGATTTTTTTTCATTGTTTTTTTATCAAACAGTTCTGAAAATGGTTGCTGAAAGGGATAGTTTGCAAATTAATTTCAGTTAAAAAATTTCATGAAGTCATTATTTACTTTCATGTAGACATATGGCGATATTCAGTATAACAATACTTCAGTATATCGTGATAATGATGATGACAATAGCACATCCATAACACATTTATTTCTCTCATTTAAAATATAAAACAACCTTCTAGATTTATACTCCAGTGGCCATTTTTATTAGGTACATCTGTCCAACCGTCTTTCGGATGAGACGTTAAACCGAGGTCCTGACTCTCTGTGGTCATTAAAAATCCCATGGCACTTCTCGTGAAAGAGCAGGGGTGTAACCCCGGTGTCCTGGCCAAAGTCCCTCTATCGGCCCATTCGATCATGGCCTCCCAATCATCCCCTTCCACCGAATTGGCTCTATCACTGTCTCTCCACTCCACCAATAGCTGGTGTGTGGTGAGCGCACTGGCGCCGTTGTCCTGTGGCTGCCGTTGCATCATCCAAGTGGATGCTGCACACTGGTGGAGGTGTGGAGAGACCCCCCTCATGATTGTGAAGCGCTTTGGGTGTATGGCCATACACAATAAATGCGCTATATAAATACACATTACATTTACATTACATTACATTACAACTGTTACAAATTTTAAATCACCCAATCACATGGCATTTAGGCATGTAGACATGGTCGAAATGATCTGCTGCAGTTCAAATCGAGCATCAGAATGGGCAAGAAAGGTGATTTAAGTGACTTTGAACGTGGCATGGTTGTTGGTGCCAGACGGGCTGGTCTGAGTATGAAACTGCTGAGCTGCTGAGATTTTTATACACAACTGTCTCTAGGCTTTACAGAGAATCATCCAAAATTGAGAAAATATCCAGTATTGCTATTGCTTTAAATAAGTATTGCTGTTGACCATGTCCATCCCTTTACAACCACAGTATAGCCATTTTCTGATGGCTACTTCCAGCAGGACAACACGCCATGTCATAAAGCATGACTCATCTCAGACTGGTTTCTTGACCGTGACAACGAGTTCACTGTACTAAAATGGCCTCCACAGTCACCAGAACTTAATTCAGTTGAGCTCCTGTGGAGGTACGGGAGATTTGCATCATGGATGTGCAGCAGACAAATCAGCAGCAACTGCGTGATGCTATCATGTCAATATGGACCAAAATCTTTGAAGAATATTACCAATATCTTGTTGAGTCTATTTCATGAAAGATTAAGACAGTTCTGAAGGCAGAAGGCGGGGCGCCACACCAAAATACATCACACCACGGCTACATTACAGCATCTCATTCAAAACATTCAGTCATGTTTTTTTTAAATAGCGGGTTATAATCGCACCAAAATGTACTGAAAGGTAAGTGAATTATAACAGCGCAAACTTTTCTGTAACCATAGTAGTGCTGTGCGTTATTTGTTTAACCCTTTAAGGTTACATGCTGACTGACAGACTGAAAGGTGTGTGATGTGTGAGGCCAGCAAACACGGCATAGCTTTCAGTTAGAATGAACACAGTTTCCATAGGTATACTTTATAAATAAAGGTCTAGGGCTCTGCATATTATGACTCTTTCTTTTGCTGGAGTTTATAGCCGCTTCATTTTACTTCAGGACACATTAATTCCGCTCTGAGTCTATTGGAGAAATTCAGAAATATACCTAGCAAATCTAATAAATGCTGGAGGCATACTCGTTATATAAACACACTAAATCGCACTTCAGCAGCGTTTATTTGAGAGTGCACAAGAAAATGCACTTGAGCAGCGAGGGCGTGCAAGAAGTTTTGTGCACGAGCAGAGGAAATCGGCGCGCAAACAGAGATTCGCATGCTCGTATTACATGAATGCGATCTCGACTTGTAATACTGTGCTCACAACATTTGTCATTGAAATAACGCCTTAGGCAGTTGGTAGATCTGTGTAAAAAAAAGGCCTGCCGCCACATCTGTAAAAAATCCCTTTAAAAACAATAAGGTACAAACCTGCTACTAAGGTGTACCTAATAAAGTGGCCAGTGAGTGTATGTCTTTTGATTTTGGACATTATCAATAAGTTAAAGTTTTTTTATGCATTTACTATTTTTTTATTTATTGTTCTTCATCCTTTTCCAGATTAATTTGTTTAGAACATTTATTTACCCTGAACATATAT